GTTAGTATTGAGACCACTGCTGTTTTTGATCTATATAAATGACCTGGACTTGGGTATAGGGAGTATCATGTCCAAGTTTGCAGATGATACTAAGCCAGGAACAGTAGAAAATAGAAATAGACTGCAAATGGACAGAGACAGACAGGTAAAATGGGCAGACATGTGGCAGATGAAGTTTAATGTGGAGAAATGTGAAATGATGCATTTTGGGAAGAAGAATGAGGAGAAGCAATATAAGCTGATGGTACAATCTTAAAGGGGGTTAAGGAATAGAGAGACCTGGGGGTTCATATAAGTATATTTTTGAAGGTGGCAGGGCAGATAGATAAAGTTGTTAAAAAAAGCATACAGGTCACTAGGCTTTATAAATAGGAGCATAGAATACAAAAGTCAGGAAGTTATGATGAACCTTTATAGAACATTGGTTAGGCCTCAGCTAGAACTGTGTTCAGTTCTGGACACCACACTTTAGGAAGGATGTCAAGGTATTGGAGAGGGTACAAAGGAAATTTACCAGGATGGTACCAGGAATGAAGGACCTGAGTTATGAGGAGAGGAAAGCGAAACTAGAATTATTCTCCCCAGAGCAGAGAAGATTAACAGGAGACTTGATAAAAGTTTTCAAAATTATGAGGAGATTTGATAAGGTGAACAATGAGAAACTATTTCTACTAGCGGGTGGGTCGGTAACCTGAGGACACCGATTTAAAATAGTTGTTAAAAGAAACAGAGGGGAGGTGAAAATTTTTTTTACACAGCGAGTTATTCGGATCTGGAATGCATTACCTTTTTTGTGGAGTCCTGTAGCTCAGTGGTTAGAGCACTCGCTTTGCAAGCGAGAGACCTGAGTTCAATTCCAGGCAGAGGGCGAAACCTTGGGCAAGTTTCCTTACTCCACACGCCTAATAATAATCCCTCCAAAACCAAAAACAATAATAAATTGGTCATTTTCAATCTACGATTGTTTGTGGGACATTGCTGTGCGCAATTGGCTGCCGCGTTCGCCCACAAATATACAGTCAATTCACTTTACAGTATATTCTGTGAAGCGCTTTGGGACGTCCTCCCGACGTGAAAAGCGCTATATCAAATGCAAGGATTATTATTAAAGGGTGGTGGAAGCTGGTTTGATAACTCAATTGTATAATATTGTACACAGAGATAATTTTTGTGTACAGCTGAGTAAAATAGTAATCTTTGCATTAAATTTCATTTCAAAAGATGGTCTCAAAGCGCTTCACAGGGTTACTTGCGGTGTAATTGTAGGTGAATTCGGCAGCCAATTTTTTAACAAATTATTCACTGATTGCACTTGATTCGCCCCCAAAAGCACATCCTTACCGTCCTTCAACAATGTTTGGGATAGTAGAATAGTGATGAATGCTCAGTATGTTTTGTGTGGCTAATATGCACTCTGGTCTGTTGTAGAACTGTAGGCTTGTGGATTATACCATTATATGTTTCAAGAAGGTCGAATAGAATGTCTAGCAGCACGGGAAACTCTGCTGCTTGGGAAGCAGATCTTCAGTACTTTTTATTCGCACAATTACTCCTGAGCCTCATCGCCACATTTGTTTTAACATTACAGATGGTTGTTGAGAAACTGGAGAAAAACAAATCTCATCTGTGGCTTTGTGAAAGAAAGAAGTAACTTTGAAAATGAACACATGTTAGAATACCAACATGAAAACACGGAAGGCTGGCCGGCTGCAGATGCACACAATCATTTATTCAGTTCAAGTGCTGCTGACAAATATGAACACAGGAATCCATTCATGCAAATAAATACAACTGGTACCAGCTGGCTGTTGATGTCAAAATAAATTTACTGTTTGAGGATATCATTTACAAAAAAAACTATTTTTCACACCTACCAAACTGGCCAGACTATGTTGGTTATTAATAATTATAATCATTGCATTTGATATAGCGCCTTATCATGTCATTGAGACATCTCAAAGGTCTTCACAGAATATATTGTAAAGTGAATTGACTACATTTTGTGGGAGAAAAGCGGTAGCCAATTGTGCACAGCAGTGTCCTATAAACAGCTGTGGATTGAGTGACTAATTTATTATTATGGATTTCTATATTAGACTCTTTGTGTGTCTATATTAGACGTTACTGTTTGTCAACCATTGCTCAGGCCATGTAGTTATTGAATGGCGGAGCAGGCACGAAGGGCCGAATGGCCTACTCCTACTCCTAATTCTTATGTTCTTATGTTCTTATGTACTGTATTTATTTATTGTGTTTTGTGGTGTTGTAGACGTTTTATACTGTATTCCAGTTTTGTTCCTGCAAGTGATTCGTAGTCTATTAAGCAATCTTTGCATTTCATATAACTCTGATCATGTTAGCAAGATGTTTCAAAGCATTTTACAGGAATTTACGTCTCAGAGGGGACCTTATAGAGATCCCCTCTGAGATTATTTCTAATCCCATTTCAAATAAAATTTCAAATGGGATTATAATAATAATCCTTATGTTTGTTATAGTACCTTTCATGTCAGAAGGCCATCCCAAAGTGCTTCACAGGATATACGGTCAAGTGCAGTGACCATGTGTTTTGTGGGCAAATGTGGCAGCCACTTTTGCCCACAGCAATGTTCAAACAATTGTGAAATTGATGACCAACTTTATTTTAGGGAATTGTTGGCCAGAACATTGGGAGAAACTCCCTTCTCTTTTTGAATAGTGCCATGGGATTTATAATATCCACCTGAACAGGCAGATAGGGCCTCAGTTTTAACATCTCATCCAAAATACTGACCTACAACAATGCAGCACACCTCAACACTGCATTAGAGTGTCAGTTTAAGACGATGTGAGTTCCAAGTCCTGATCCAAGTTGTAGGTTTGAACAAGAGGATACATGTCACATAAAGGGCAATTTCGGAATGGACACCAGTATTTATTTACCCAGTGGTTAATTAACAACTAGAACAGCTTACCAGGAAGAGCGTTGAGGCCAGGATGATGGAGTCATTTTTAAAAAAACAAATAAAATGGGCAGAAATGCCTTCTTCATTCAAACCAATATAGTGATTTTGTGAGAAGCAATATTCATCTGGGTCAGAGAGTGCCTGGGTGAAAGGTGTGTGCTTTTGTACTTTTCTGCCCGATTATACTACAGTGGTTGTTTTACATTGCTTCCAGTAGCACAGTAATTTGAAGCAAGAAACCTGCTTATAACGCTCAGTTTGTAATGCTCTTGCTGGAACTGAGCTCAAAAGAAGCAGAGCTTCTGCACGCACGCAAATAAGAAGAAATCATTATCCTGAGCCAAGTTTCAGTTTATTTTCAATTATGAAAGAGTTGGGAGTGTGGCCAATTATGAAGTTGCCTTTTGAAGTTTGCTACTGTTCCCACCAGGCTGGTAAATGAAGGTGCTACCCAAACATCACAATCCAATAAAACTGTTTTAATCCTCAGCATGGTGTAATATTGTCCCCCTATATACCAATAAAGGTCACTGAGCAGAGCAGCAGGAAAACTTTAAGGAAACTGGCATTAGCAGTTTCAGGAAGTGGAGCCCTTGGAGACAGTGTAAATCACTCAGCAGTCAGATTTTATTGATTGACCTTTTTCAATGGAGATTCAGTCCATTGGAATTGACCGTCTCTGAGGTAAGTTTTTCTTTAATGAAAACAATATTTTGTGCCTGCAAGCAGCATTTTATTATTACACAGCTCATTACCTATTTGCTGCCAAGATTGACACAAAGAAACAGTGAGTTAGGAGAGCAAAGAACAAGTTATGAAAAAGTAAATCAACTCCATTATCCATTCATTTCAGCAGTGGCCGTTTTTCATAATATCAAAATAGTAATGTTAAAACTCTTTAAAATTACCTCAAAGATATTTCAATCAAAGCAGACTTCTGGCTTTGTGAAAAGAAACAAACGTGTGCGGAACATGAGGAATGGAAGAAATTAAAGAACTGAAGGAAACAGAGAAGTATTAGTCCATCAATGGCTGGCAAGTCCCCCCGATCAGAGCCTTTACCCTGCCCATTCTACCTGAAGCCCAAAAGCAACTACGCCCCAAACCTGTAGAACCAACTGCCTCAATCCCTCCACTTGCCCCCTCTTTGCCTATCTTTAGATCATACCTGGAACCTTTCCTCTTCGGCCATATCTTCAGTCACCTCCCCTTTCTCCCCTGCTCGGTGTCAAACTTCACCATTGTTCAGCACTCTGAGTCGTTGAAAATTAATTAGCTCAAAAGCAATCAAGCAAAAGTGAAGACTATGTATTCATCCCCACTATCTAATCGTGGTCTCCAGCCACCCATTCACACCATTCCCCTTCCAACCATTACAATAATCATTGTATCCCACAGTGTATTTTACAATCCTGGTCTGTTTCATACCATAGCATGTTTGGTGCACTTTTGACTACATGGACAGTTCACAGGAAATCCCGTTATAACTCCTCTTTGTTAAAGTGTGCTGAACTCACTCCCATAGCTCATTGGGGTGAACATAATGGGTTCCCTTTTACATTGTATCAGATGAAATCCATTTAACTCAGTCACCAATCATACCAACTCTGTAATGGATATCCCTGGAATGTGCAAGTTTGGGGTAAAAAGTGAGGATTGGCGGAAACTATAATGCCGCTGTGCAGACTATTGATCACGTTTGGCCTTTTGGAAGTCTGCAAATGAGAACCATTGCCCTCAATCTAGGCCGAGAACCCCCAACCTTGTTCCTAACCAAATGTTCATCCAGCTGCTTTTTGAAAGAATTAATCAACGGCATCCACTACATTTGTTGTGAAACTGTTTCATATTCCTTCTACACTCAGGACAATGGGTACTATTAATTTGCCTTATAGCATTTTTCAAACCCAATATTTATCACATTTTGTTACAATGATTTTGTTAAACAAGGATTATTAATAATGATCGATATCTTGATGTTTCATGCGGTGACAAAATGCAATCTACTATGTCTTCAACTTTATTCAATAAGAAAATGACTGAAAGACCCACACATTTTGTTGATACATTACTCCATGGTTGTTGCAAATTTATTCTTTGGTTTGCGACAAACAAATAATTTGCACACATTAAAATTTGTGAACAGCTGGTCAGAGAAGCAATAGCAGACATACTATGTAAATGCACATAGCACAATTGAACATGGTAAAATTGCAAGATATTTGGGAGTTCATCAAATTGCAAAAAAAAGATTTAAAAAGCAGCTAAAATTGATCAGATTGAGTTTCCAAGTAGCAAATCATATTCATTGATTCTTTGTACTTCAAATATCCCTCATATTCAGTCATAATCCAGACACCCTACTGTCTAGGAAAACTTCATTACAATAACTGTCAGGAAAAGCAGTCGCAAACAACTTCTGTGAAAAACAGTCCTGAAATGCCATCTGTGAATTTTCTCTACTTGGTCATAATACTGCAAGAATTTTTTTTGTCTGTATGAACTGTTCAACCTACTTTGCAGCAGTGATTCCAAAACAACATTGATACTGTGACATCAGTCTTGCTTTCTAATATTTTATTACTCTTTAGAATGTTTTGGAAATTTTTGCATTTAGAAAACTGTAAGAAAGGCACGTATTTTTCATAATAGTCCAGATGTTTGTTGGATTTCTTCCGCTCGTGTGAGTTCTTTAGCAGATTGATTCCAGAGACTGAGTTTGGGTATCCACTAAGGTTTTAGGAGCTAGGCATACAGCAGTTTATCTTTTGATGGGCAACAAGTAGCAGGCAGTAAGATCTAGACTACTTTGTGCATACTGATATAGAAATGGGAGCCAATTCTTTATAAAGAAAACGTCTTTTTTTGTTTTACAAAGGCATATTTTTCATGGCATTGTTGCTTCACATGTGAACAGTTTTCTATATTGTCAACAGAATGTTCAACATTAATTTGGAAGTGTACATTTGGCGGGCGTTTATATATTCCCATCGTCCAGCATTTTGTTCACACCATTACAAATTTTATGCAGATTATTTTTATAAAGTCCAAAAGGATTGTACAGTGCAGCCAAGAACTCACAATCCGCAAAGTGATTAAACACATGATTGATACGTCCGTGTGACTTGGCAGTCAAATGGCGCTGGATGACCTGGTGCAGCATGTCCCTGCATTCGTTCAAAAGTTTGGACAGAACATTGCGGTCAAAGGTAAAGTCAACCTGATGGAAACTGACAATTGTCATAGCTAGCTGGTGAAGCTTCTTCTTGAACTTCTCCATCAACATTGTCTCTTCATCATTGAACTGGTTATTTCGGAACAGGACTCCCAGTTTTATGACCATCTTGATGAGATTTTTGATGATCTTCTCTGCCTCCTTTTTGTTTTGAGTAAACTCCTTGGTTGTTTTATAAAGCTCATCTAAGACTTCACTGCTGTTGTCATCAACCAATGCTGTTGCTATTGACTTTGAAGCCATCTTCCCAAGTATTTTCTTCTGAGCCTGGACAGCCAGACTTTTGGAATTGAAGACCTCAGTGGCCACTGAAAAAGAAACACAGAAGGGATTAAACACACGATAGAAAACTATGATAAGACCAGGAATGCCTCCAGGTTTTTGTAAATTCAATCTAAATGTGTACAATACAATCTGCTCTTATTTCACAGCTTTTAGAAAATAGGACATAAGTTTGCGTTGTAAACCACAACAACCAAATTGCATTTGCATAGCACCTTTCACATTGGGAGGATGTCCAATCAGTGTTTCGGACCCGAGCTGATGGTCGGGATCGGGGAGTGGGGGAAAGTAGGTGACCGAAGACACGGTTGAAGAGGAGGGTCTTGAGATGGGTCTTGAAGGAGGCGAGGCGGAGGTACTGCGGGATGGAGTTCCAGAGGGTGTAAAGGGTAATTTCAGGACAGTCACTAGAAAGTTTTACTTTACCAAACGGGTAATCAATGACTAGAATAGATTGCCAAGAAGGGTGCTTGACATTGAAGGCTAGGGTACTGGACTCATTTAAAAAGCAGCTTAATGCAACCATGGGGAGAACGGTAGGGTGGGTTTTCTGGAGGGGTGCAATTGGATCGGCCAAAGGAACCTTCTTCATCTAAACCAATCTTGTGATCTTGTGTGATCTATTTTTTATTTTATTTTGCAGGTGTGCAACACCATTGACTCACCGCCACACATTGTGTTACACTACTCATTCAATTCTACAAAAACAGGCCACCTGGGTTAGTATCCTGCTGGGTTAATTCCTTTTCTGCCCATTTCCACTCCTGAAGATACTGACTCTTGGTGCTAATAGCAACTCCTCCGAGTTCATGTGTGAACCCAGGCAGTGAGTACAGTATGAGTATCAACTGTGGGAACACTTCAGCACAGCCAAATCTGATCCCTACCAAAAGTCAGCATCATTGGATCAGGAGCAGGAGTGGCTAACATCTCCCCTGCCGAACCCAGTGATGTTGAGTTCAATTGTTGTAACCCAAATGCTATTTCTGAGATGAGGTAACAGCACAAACTATCCGTCAGCACTTCAAAATGGTAGCCAATGTGGGAAAGGCAAAATAGCCGACTTCCAGGTTACTGCCAACATCATTTCATTTGCGCAAGTGCCATTGACCCCATGACATTTTCGTCAGGGGCTATACGGCACTCTGAAGATTCGAAAGATCTATTGCCCACTCTTTAGACTTATTGGGTTAGGTAAATGTGGAGGTCCACACCTCAATTGCGCTATAAGTCAACCTGTGTTATAATGAAGCACAAACCTAAGGTTCCCTGTAAACTCTATGTTACCAGTAGCTAAATGGGCAGAACTTGACTTCTGGTTTCCATTCTACCCATGCAGAATGTTGTGCTCACTGTGGAAAGATTACAGACTGGAATTATATTTCTTCGGTTAATGTGTACTTAAGGATAACTGTAACTCAACAAAACCTTATTTGCTAAATGGAACCTTAAATCCAACCTCAGGAAAAGGTCCCACAGCTGCAACTCAGATCAGTTTGAATGATCTTACAAATTGAGGAAGGATTTTACTTGCATAAACTTATTATAGTATAATCTCAGTTGCCAAATCTCATTTCACCTATCTTTACTTCCTGATATTCAGAAACGAAAGATGTAATACACATCAATCCTAGTCTTTACACACAACACTGTCAATTTTAGGCACCACAACAAGAATGTTCAATATATTTTCCTCCTTGCTTAAAGCTAAAGTATGTTTTTATTTAGCAGTTTGCTTGAAGTTGGTGCTATGCTGACAAAGGGAAATCAAGGGAGTTACATTGCATTCCACACACCTAATAATATTCCCTCCAAAACAAAACAATAATAATTTGGTCATTTTCAATCCACGACTGTTTGCGGGACACTGCTGTGCGCAATTGGCTGCTACATTTCACCCACAAATATATGGTCAATTCACTTTACAGCATATTCTGTGAAGCGCTTTGATAGGTTGAGAAGATGTGAAAAGCGCGATATCAAATGCAAGGATTATTATTAGTAGTAATAGTAGCTGTCTATTTCACCACTATTACTAGTGTCCAATGTTTTATAATTCTGTTCATGCACAGAACATCCAATGCCATTGTGTTACATACAGGAATGGCATCTTTGTGTGCAGAATGAGTATCATATATCATCAGGATTTATCAAACAGGAATAATGTACTTGGAGTGTGGTTCAGGCATCAACACCATCATGTAACCCCATAGTGCAGCAGGTAGCATAATATTACCAGTCATCTGTGCCTGGAGCAACTGCAGGCTGTTCAATTGGAATATCAGCCTGACCCTGTTGGCAGCACTTTCTCACCTCTGAGTCAGAAGGTTATGGCTTGAGCCTCATGTCAAGGTTTTGAGCTCGCAATCTATGCTGACATTCCAATACAGTGCTGGGAGAGAGTACATTTTTGGAGATGTTGTCCTTAAGACATTAAACCAAGGTCCTCTCTGCCTGTTCAGGTGGATGTTAAGAATCCAATGGCATTATTTGAAAAGAGAGGGGAGTTTCCCCAGGGAAGGGATATTCTACAGATTAAATTGATCATTCATACCTTCATAGCTGCTTATCAGATATTGCTGTGTGCAAATCGACTGCCACATTTGCCCACAAAATACACAGTTACTACACTTTACAGCAAATCCTGTGATACACTTTGAGACATCCTCCTAAAATGAAAAGCGCTATATCGATTGCAAGGATTATTAAATAGTTGTTACTAATGAAATAACCCAGAACACTACACACATCATCGATTGAGCAGAGTTTGTGGTGTTTCTAGCAATGTGACGAAAAGACACACTTTACAGATCTGAAAGCCTGTATTACAAAAAGGTAATTTGCGCAACTGCAAAACCATAGAAATTTACTGCACAGGGAAGGTCATTTGACCATCATGTTTGTGTTGGCTTTTTTAAGAGCAATCTTTTCAATTCCATTTACATATCCTTTCTTTAAACCCTTGCAGTTTACCATTTAACACAGTTTATTTGCAACTAGTGTCTGTGCAACATTAAAGACAGAAAGATAGGACCAGATAGGATATAAACTAGCTTTTATGAATCTAATCAGTAAATCAAACAGCATCTCGTACACAATAGTATCTTATTTATCATTTTCTGGCAAGGCTGGGGTCAATGGAGCACCTGGTCCCTCGACCCCATCCCTACCCCTCTCCTCACCTCCCAGCTCCACCACCTCACAGACATCATAAACCTGTTCACTGGCACCATTCCCGCCCCTCTAAAAATGGCTGTCACCACTCCTATCCTCCCTGGATCCATCCCTGCTCTCAAACTACCACCCCATCTCCAACCTCCCTTTTGTTTCCAAGGTCCTGGAACGAGTTGTTGCTTCTCAGCTTTGTTCCTTCTTCTCCCGCCACTCCCTTTACGGACCCCTCCAATCACGTTTCCATGCTGTCCAATGCACAGAAACAGCTTTGGTCAAAGTGACAAATTACATTTTGTCCATCTGTGACCAGAGCTCCCTCTGACTCCTCGTCCTCCTTGACCTCTCTGCTGCCTTTGATACGTTGAACATTCTATCCTCCTCCACCGCCTCTCCTCTCACCTCAACCTTCATGGTTTTATCTTGAAATGGTTCAGATCGTACCTCTCACACCATCTCAATTTCATTTCCACAAACGGTTTCTCCTCTAGTCCCCGCACCGTCTTGTGCGGCATTCTTCAGGGCTCTGTCCTTGGTCCCTTTTCAATATCTATATGCTCCCTCTTGGTGACATCATCCGCAGACATGGGGTCAACTTCCACATGTATGCGGATGACACCCAACTCTATCTCTGTGCCTCCACCCTTGACTCCAGGACCACTGTTGTCCTGAAAGAATGTCTGTCAGACATCAAGTCCTGGATGAGAGCTAACTTTCTACAGTTGAACGTCAACAAGACCGAAGCTCTCCTGATTGGCTCCTGTCAGAACCAGCACACCTCAGGAGCTGACAGCATCACCATCCAAGATGCACACTCCACCTTACTAAGCCAGTCGGGATCCTTGGCATCTTGTTTGACCAGCAAATATCCTTCCTATTACACATCCATGCCATGACCCGCTCTGCCTTCTCCCACCTCCGGAACATCACCCGGCTCCGCCACCGTCTCACACTGCAGGCCAGGCTCGACGATGCAAATTCCTTGCTTGTCAGCCTACCCAAGTCTTCCCTCCATGGCCTGTAGATCATCCAGAACTCTGCAGCCCATGTCCTCTCTCGCACCAGGCTCCACGACCCTATCACCCCCATCCTCGACGGACTCCATTGGCTTCCCATCACACAGAGCCTATATTTCAAGATCCTGGTCTTCACCTTCAATGCCGTCCAAGGTCTTGCTCCCCATTGCCTCTGCAACCTCCTAACCCCCTACCAATCTGCCCACTCCCTCTGCTCAGAGGGCTCCGGACTGCTTCTCGTCCCCCACCTCGCCCACCCCACCATTGAAGGTGGGCCTTCTGCCACCCAGACCCTACCCTCTGGAACTCCATCCCGCAGTCCCTCTGCCTCGCCCCCCTCCCTTGTCTCCTTCAAAACCATCTCAATATCCTCCTCTTCGACCGTGCCTTTGGTCACCCTCCACCCTCCCCAATCCCGACCCCTAGCTCGGATCCGAAACACTGATTGTCCAGCACCTTGGGATGTCCTCCCGACATGAAAGGCACTATACAAATGTAATTTTGTTGTAGTAATTTCTTTAGCTCTAGTTTATCGAAACTGGAGGTGAAGGGCAGGGAGGAGTTGGCAAGAGAGATTAGACAAGATTTTATTTAGGGAAAAGCACAAGCGTTAACTTGATTCTGGTTCTGTGCTGCAACATTCTAGGAGGAGAAATTTCACAAATCAGGGGAACTGCACTTGATACCAGTAAACCTGTCTTTTTTTAAAACTATTTTGTAGCTAATAATTCTAAAATTATTGGTCTCCAGGACACAATGAGCTCTTGTGGGTAAAATCTGTGACTGGGATATACGCCTGAATTCCTTTTCTATTGTCTGACTAGTCTGTGGTATGACAC